GAACAGAAAATCGCCTCATAGTAGAAAATTTATCTTCCAGAGTCAGCTGGCAGGTTTGTTTACACACGATTACTATTTTGACTTCATTTAAGGGGTATGTAATGTAATAATTTTGTAAATTATTAATTACAGTTAAATTTAATTTATTAAAAATGTTTATGTAATTAATGTAATGTTAAATAATGTAATTTAAATATTTTCAATGAAAACTAGTTAAATTTAAATTAAAGTAATAAATGTATATATTAGAGGAAATATATTTATTTATTTCTTGTTTTTTTAAATCAATTTTAACCACATATTAAACCCTTTATTTGCCAGCCTATCTGTGTCGTTGGCCTTATGACGAGGAGTGCCTGTGGGTTATCCTAATCGTTCTGTCTTGGTCACTCTTGGTTGGGCCTGGTTGACTTTCCAGTCAGCTCCGACAATGTCAGTTGGCCACCTCTAGATCTGTGTTTGCCGGTCTAGACGTTATCGATGCACTCCTTAAAGTGCCACATTGCAGCGATCCCAGAGCGTTAACGAGATCTGATTCCTAAGTTGAGAGCTGTTCTTCCTGTAACGCTTCCGAATAAGAGATCCTGGTCGAAAAGAGTTGAAAGATACGAAATTAGGTGGTCGTTGGAATCCTGATCGCAGTAACGTGGTCCTTGGTAACCTCAAGCATAGAAAATGTCTGGATCCGTCAGTGGCCTCCCGATAGGGAGGGCCGTGCGATTATTGGCTTCCATCGACTGGGTAGTGGTCGTCAAGTGGGTGGCGAAGAGCCAGTCGGGCATAAATCATGACGGTATCTCCGGTCGCTTAATGCAGTTTGCTGCTTGGCTAGCCTAGGGATATGTTAATGCAGGTAAAGTAAACTATATTTTTAATGACCTATGGGGCACAAAATAATTGTTACGTAAATGTAATTTTGCATATGTCTCTCTCTCTCTATATATACATATAAAAATAAGCCTTGTAATGTAAATGCAGAGTCACATAGTACAAAAATGTATGGGTGGTGTTTTGCAGTCCAGTATGTAGATAAGAATGTATTTTATATATAGCAGTTAGAATCTTTGTAGACTAATATTTTCCTTAACGTTAAATGACATCTGTTAGCATTTTGCTTAAAGCAATATGCTTTTTTTCCCCACTTATTTCGTGCCCTGATAAATATAATTCACTTTTGATAGAATACAAGTATGGCAATTGCCATGTTTGTAATTTATCTAACATCTTCTCTTTCAGTAGTCATAATCTTATTTAGCTTTTTAAAATCTATTTTTATATAGATAATATGTGTGGGGCTGTGTGTGTGTGTATATATATATATAAACAATTTCACTTTGCATAACATAACTGGTCTTGTGTTAGGATCTCAAAGACTTCATGAGACAAGCTGGGGAAGTAACCTTTGCAGATGCACACAGACCTAAGTTAAATGAAGGGTAAGCATCTAAAATCCTCTTTCAAGAGCTGTAGAGTAACACTTGTGTGTGTTATGTAAATAGTGGAGAAATGCCTAATTTTAGATCTCAGCAGCTACTGATGCAGCAGCTACTAATTTGGCTGTCTCCTGCAAACGTATTATTTGGCACTGGGGAAGGAAAGCCTGGAATTCATGGTGCAGGTTATAATATGGGATGGCTACTCCAACCAGTGTGGTGCGCATGCAGGGAGGGTGGGTCATAGTCTTCCTCCCCCAGGGTCTGTTTTGCTGTATCGTCAAAACTGTTGTTTGTAACAGTGAGCTATTTCTTTTCCTTGTTCAATTTCTCTAGGGTGGTTGAATTCGCCTCTTACAGTGATTTAAAGAATGCTATTGAAAAGCTTTCTGGTAAAGAAATTAATGGAAGGAAAATCAAACTAATTGAAGGCAGCAGCAAAAGATACAGGTATGTATTTCTAGTCTGTGAAATAATGCCAAAATACCTGGGGAAGAAAGCTTTGCAATCAGTGACCCAAGAAGGCACACTGGGGACCAGCGAGTTCTCTGGTTACTGAGGCGGCCTGTGGTGTTTCGCTGCTAACAGGGGTGCTCCTTCTTTCCTCAGTAGGTCCAGGAGCAGGTCACGATCCCGTAGCAGAAGTTCATCCAGGTCTCGTAGCCGCTCCCGTTCCCGAAGCCGCAAGTCTTACAGCAGGTCAAGGAGCAGGAGCCGTAGCAAGTCTCGATCAGTTAGTAGATCTCCAGAAAAGAGCCATAAACGTGGCTCTTCCAGTAGATCTAAATCCCCAGCATCTGTGGATCGGCAGAGGTCTCGATCGAGGTCCAGATCTGTTGACAGTGGCAACTGAACTATAAGTAACTTGCCCTGGGGGCGCTTTTTTAAACCATACTTGCTAAAACTTGTGGTAAGTATGTGACTTTCTGGGGCGAAGGGTTTGGACAGGGAGGGTGGGAGGGGGAGCTTTGTAGATGTGGACCATGGGGAGGGGGGGTTATTGAATACTTGTATTAAATGTTTTTTGATAACCTTTTTCTTGCTCACATTTTTGTGAATGTCTGAAGTGTATAGTTTGTGTATATTGGCAGAGCTCTTTATAACTAAAGCAGACAAATTTTTTTGTACTCAAAAACAAAAAGTTACCTAAACACTTACTATTCACAGTTGAATATACTGTGAATAGTAATTCAGGATATTAGTTTAATATCTCAGATAAAATTAATAGCTTTAGGCATCTAAGAGCTCTACATGTGCTGTACATAAAGCTTTATTTCAGAGGGTATTTTTTTTGTGCTTGGAAACCATTGTTTCAGTAAGAGGTCAGCAGATTAAGTGCTGATCAGTACTGATAATAAAACCTTATTTTGAAAGCTTTTCATATAACATGAATTGCACTGCACTAAGAAAACACCCATTTCACTGCCCTGTGGTAATAGTATTCTATAAAGCACCCTACTTGATATTTTAGAATTAAATAGCTCAAATAAAATACAAAGAAAACTGTCTGAATCTGGTGTGTTCTTTATAACTGTGCCTCTTGCATTTAGGTGGTGGTAGAAGGTCTCTCAAGAGCTATGGTAAAGTTGTTGAGTGCTGTGGAGGGGGTGGGAGGAAGGATTCCTTTTGAATACAGCATACTTAAAAAGTTGAATTTTATTATCTTTGGAGAACTAAGTAATCTTCAAGTTAATTCTAGGAAGCTGCCTTGGGGAGTCTGCTTCGGTATAGTCAAAATAGAACTGTCCTTGGATTACTATCTTAATGAGCATTTATCTTTTGAAATAAAAATGGTAGACAGGGGAAAGGATGAATCACTTCTGCTTTAGTGGGGGTGAAATGTTAAAAGGTGAATGCAGCTGTCCTGGTGCTTTCTGATCACTGCCCTCTTGACATCTGAGCTTACCCCTGTTTTCCCTCCCAACCTCCATGCAGAGGCACTGCTTGTAATTCTTCCAGCATCTCCTGGATGCCAGTTGCTGCCCCCTGCTGTTTTCCAGATACTTAAAGCCAGAACCCAGATTTGTAAGCACTTGCAGCTGTGTTGGGACAGTCCAGGTAGTATGAGAATTCCAAGGAATAAAGATGGCTTTGCTGTGTCCCTCGCAAGGGCAGTGCTGGTTATTACTGAGGGGAGGAGAAAAGGAGACCTGAGAGCCCTGTGTTACCTGCTTACAGAAGACTGGTGGGTTTTGGCTCAGTCTGATCCCACCGTTTTTTTCCCAGAACAATTTTGGGGTGTGTGTAGTGAACATCATACTTGCATTGACTCATTTCAGTGTTCAAAGCGATTATTCACCTAGAAGGTTGAAATTTGCTCTGTTTTCATCGATGCTGAATGATTTATTAGGTTTAACAGGGCAGGTATGAACACCGTTTCCAAGTATAACAAAGGAACCTGAGACATGAGCATCTTGGAAGGCTTCCCTGTGAATGTTCAATGCTGCCATTGACTTAGGTTTTACCAGAATTATCCTGATTACAAGATCAGTTGATTGGAGCTGTGCCTGGGTAGCTGTGTTGTGTAATTCTGTATTCCCTGTAGCTTTGCCAGAAGAAAAGAGGCCCAAATTTCTGAGGAACCCAGTATCTACCAGCAAGATTCTGTAAGAAAATTGTTTACTTGCCCTCCCTCTTACCTGAATCATAAATGGCATTTCAAGTGGTTGTGAGGAAGGCTTGGCTCCAAGTGGAATTCGGATGAAGGCCCCTGATCAATGGAAAACGGTAGTATGCTCATTTTTAGCAAAACAAAAACAATTCTGGGGTGTTTTCTGCTGCAAAAGTGGTTGTTGTGAATCTTGCTTCTAAAGCAACTCTTCGCTGGCAGTCTGAAGAGGTTTTTGCATGAGTGCATTAGCTGCCATGATGTTCAAATTCTGGGTGGGCTGTAATCTGGCTTTGTGCTGCTGAGGGTTGTGTCGGCTTGTCAAAACCCTTGATTCTGCAGGTGATACTGTGGCACCTATACCTGCACAGCAGGTTACAGCTGTTAGTGACAAGCTTTATTAGGTGCAGATGCTCGTTGCAGTCCTGTTTCTTCTTATGCTCCGTTACTTCAGGCTGCAGTGCATACTTTGTGCACTTGCACTTGCAGTTCTACTGCCAGCCTTCCAAAATAGCTGTCTCTGTAGCGTAATATAAACAGCAAGGCGGTGTCCTGGAAATACGCTGCAGGTAATTGGCTCGTATAAAGCAGGGCCTGTTTAGGGCTCATGTACAGCTTGCTGGGCCCCAGCTCTGCATGCTGGTGCAGGTTATGTTGTTTCTACCCTGTACGCACACAGCACTATACCGGGCAGGGCTTGGGCTCTCGGAAAGTGGGAACAGCCAGTGGGCCAGGGGATGCCTGGATGGGACATTGGTCTCTGCGGATGCTGCATTGGCTCAAATGAAGAGGAGGATCTGCAGCTTGTCACGGATGACCCCGCACCTGATCCTGGAAGTCTCCTTCACGGGAGGGATGGTGTGAGAGGAACAAGGTCTCTGGGGGAGATCAGAGGGCAGGGTGGGAATAGCTGTGTGGAGACCCCTTCCTCTGGTTAAAATGAGCAGTAGCACCAAGTTTTACACGGTGCTGGGGGCGGCTTGTAAGCCTTCCGCAGAAGGCAAAGCTCGAGGGGCTTGTGAGAGCTGCTGGTACACAGAATTTCCGTAATGTTTTCCTGTTTCCTCACTGTTTCTGTGAGGTACTGGTTTTATTTCTTGAGTGATGTCTGTGTCTTGGGTGATAGCTGTGCAGGCCATTTTTGCTGCATCTATAGGAAAAAAAAAATCTAATGAGAATGGGTAGTTCTGAACCTGGGTTATGGAAAGCTTGTAACATAGCTAAGATTTGCTGCTGCTGGTGATTAAAAAAAAAAACTTGAAGTCCTATCCAAATAAGCCTTTTTGTTTCCTATGACTTCATGAATCTGCCTGGAAAGCCACCCTTTTTGCCACAGGCTTAGGAGCCTCCTCTGTGGCTGTTTCCAGCATCATCTCCTTCGCTTTGAGAATGTGCCTGAGGATCAAAACTGAGCGTCCCTACAGAGCACTGGTTCCTTGGATACCGTTTATACGTACGTATGGCTGGGAATGGAAAACTTTGGAAATACAAAAGTGCACTTGCCACTTGGTTTTGTTATTCTATCGTGGATCCTGAAGACCAGGATAAGCAGAAGGCCCTCTCCAAGCTGGAATATCAAGTAGAGGAGTGGGAAGAAGTACAGGTGACCAATGATGTCTGGGGCAAAGGTGACCTTGAGTATAGCAGAGCAAAGCTGCACGTTCTGGCAGCCAGTCTCCATGCACACCGTCCGCCTGCATCTGCAGCAGGAAGAGGTAAAACAAGACGTGTTAAGGATTTGACCTGTTTCTAAGTAACTGACCTTGCTGTTCAATATGTCATGTATTTGCCTGTGTAGAAAGCTGCTGTGTCATGAGGTGACGCTAGGGACCCTAGAAAGGAGATTCCCTTTGTGCTTCCTTGGAAGTGTGTGGGGGCAGTACTACCAATGTGGACTTCCTGCCTAACTGTTTCTGAAGGCCCTGTGTCTTGTTCCTCTGGGCTTTGCCTCCTCTGGAAGGAATCTCATTCTGAGGAAAAAATGAAGAGTCTAATGACAAAAGGTGAATAGAAAATAGTGAGGGCTGAATTAGTATAAGAAAGGGAAGGAGTAGGTTTTATATGCCAGGTTCAAGGTTTCCGTTTTGAATTTCTGGGGTGAATGCACTGATTGGTGTGTTGTAATTAGCAGAGGAATTATTGAGGTTCAGTCTGTGTTGTTACTCCCTATTTTTTTTCTCCATTGCTTTTTGTTTGACACTGTTCATTCTCCCTCTCCTACTTCATTGCTGAGAACAGAGGCTGGTAATGCACACTTTTGGGGACACTAGTGTCAAACCCATGCTCAGCTTATTCAGTGATCTTGTGTAATGGACTTCCCCCCATTTGTGGTGACCAGGTACACACTCCCAGAAATGATTCCTCCAGTTCCTCCCCATCCTGCTGAGCCAAGCAGGGAGCAGAGGTTGAATTCATTTCTCTCCCCGTGCAGGAATACTGCAGCTTGCAGTATATCTGCTTGTGCCTATAGAGCCAATTCTGGGACACTGCAGTCAGTGTCCATTTTATGAAAGGAACTCCATGTTGAAACCAAGGTGTTCACCATTGCCCTGTGCACCAGACCTCCCGTTATTCTGTATTCCTTCTGGCAAGGAGGGAGTGTTAAAACGTACCGATCATTAAGCTTGAAGGCTGCAGAGAGAACATATAGAAGTTTCAGCTTCCTTAGTGATCTGAAAGTATCACTTAGAGAGACCTTAAGAAACAACCTCCCTAGCACATGTACAGAATAACTGTCTAGTATTTTTTGATGTCTGGTCCACCAGGTACTTGTTTTTCGGAATGACTGTATGTCACACCATGTGTTTGGCATGACCTACCTCTCGCCCAGAGTAGCTGGGGAGGGAACCGTGTTACTCTCAGCAGAACCTGCCCACAGCAGGTATGCAACGGGGTAGCTGCATTTTCCTATGATCTTGCTGGGGCCCAGTGATTCAGCAGATGAAACGCGTGGGCGATTTGGGGAGGCAGAATAGGTAACTCACCCCCCCTCTCTCCGCTTTGGAGTCCAGTTCAGCTGGAGTTCTCCAGCCGTTTATTTACAGCAAAGTCCCCCCACCCTCCCTTTCTGGAGAAGAGAAATACAAAGAAAGTGTTAGCAGAAAGGAAAAAGAGCTGAGGGTTGGCTGGGCTGGTAGAGCTTGTCTTCCTGATCTAGACTTTTAAGGGTTCTTTTAGAACTCTAGCCGTCACTTCCCGAAAGTGTTAGCAGAAAGGAAAAAGAGCCGAGGGTTGGCCAGGCTGGTAGAGCTTGTCTTCCCGCTCTAGACTTTTAAGGCTTCTTTTAGAAATCTAGCCGTCACTTCCTTGTGCTTAGTAAAAGAAGTGCTATGCTCCTGCTACATCTGCTCTGGCTTGACTCCTGGGCTCCCATGCTTCTTAGGGCTTGGTTACTCCTAATACCATTTTATCGGGGGTGTGGATTCTGGCACCCAAAGCTTTGTCCCATTTTCTCTGATGAGATGGAGTCTTAGTCAAAAAAGCTATGAAAAACAGGTTTGTAAAGTTGTTAGCAGCTCTCTAGGTACTGCTGTTGAAGCTGTTGGCTTAGGCAGTGTTCTTGTGGCTGTCCAGGTTTCACTTTTGCTGTTTAAATGCTAGGTGTAAAATAGGGTACTAGCACAGTATGCTTCTTACCTTGATGACAAAGCCAGTGTACTGTGGTTTCTTCTCATTCAAGATGATGCCAATGGCGCAGGGGATGAGCATAAGGACCAGGGAGATGATTATTCCTTTGTATGGCACCTTGCTCTCCAGATCACCTTCATATAGTCCTCTCGAGTAAAGGTACAGGAGCAGAGGCATGAGTCCTATTGCCAGGACTGTTGAGCATGTGGTCATTACAATGCTGAGAGGAAGAAAGAATCTTTCAGTAAAATAATAACACCTTTTGTGGAATGTGCTCATTTTCTTACTAACCTGGACACAGGATTTTAATCCAATGCTTTACTTGCTCTTTCCAGCCTGGCATTGAGCTTTCCTCAACATCGCTATCAGGCTGTAGAAGAACTTGATACAAACAGAGACGGGGGGAGAAAAGTTCCAATTTAAGTTCAGAAAGGACCTTTGTTACAGGTACAGCTTGTATTTCAGAAATTCACAAGTGTCAAAACCACACTCAAAACTTTTGCCTGCCTATTGCTAGGGTTTGTTGGAATAAGGGCCTCTTATAGCTCTACATTTTTTGCAGCTGCAGCTTCTTCAGACAACACTCTCAGTCTACATGCAGAGGCAGCTGGTCTCCAGCTGTGCCAATAACTGGCATGATGGAGAAGTGAGGTGACTTGAGGCATGTATACTACTAGATGGAGGTGGAAAAAGTGCTCCAGTACCCATGTCATCAAGAATGACTTATGCTGTATGCTTTATAGAAAGATATAAATTCCATTTTATTGTAAAGCAGGAACTATTGATTTGTTGAGTGTGTGCTTTAAAAATAATCTAGACTTAATATTTCCTCTTTGTTTAGCTTTTTGGGGATTGAGAATTTTTATTAAGCTAGCTTTTGAACCAATCATACAGCTATGCCTGACTGGAAAATGCATATATGCTCAGTTTTCCTTACCTGAGGTTCATATCTCCTTTCAGTGCCAGGCTAAAGATGTTTGAGAGGTTTCCACCCGGACAGCAGCCACAGATGAGAATGGCCAGGGATTCCATAGCACCTAGCTGGAAGAGCTTGCCCAAAGCAAACGCTGTCAAAGGCATTACACCGTATTGAGCCATTATGGCAATTGCTATCCCTTTGGGTTTCCTGAGATGAGTTGTGATCTTGGTTATCTCCATCGTGCAGCCCAAAGATACCATTATGATGAAGAGGACCACAATAAGGATGGCACTCAGGGCTTTGTCTGTGGCCTGCTGGCCAAATGCAGAGGGTGGTGCAGTGCTGGTGTTCAGGGCATCAGCTGGGCTCCAAAGCTCTGGGTTCTCAAAGTCTCCCGTAGTCTTATTCATCCTGCTGAAGAGTTTCCATGTCCTTTCTTCCATAAGTGACAGATTATGATTCAGAAATCTGAATAAAATTCAGTAAATACAAACAAAACATGAGCTCTCCTCCTGCCCATGGTCTGCACCTTCTCTCCTTTACTCTTATCATCTAGCAGTTGTTGAAGCTGAAGTCTGTTTTGAGGAATTGGATGATTATAATTTATGCTTCTTGGAAACTTCCTGCCTCGGATGTTGGAGTATTTTCATTTTTATAGAATCACAACAGACTATCACTGCTATTCGCATTGTCAATCAACAAGTGCCACACATCCTAGTTTCTATCTCTGTTTCATAACAGCGAAACACGAACCCTGCTCACTTCAGTAATACATTTTGTAGCTTCCCTCTGCTCCTACTCCAGTCTCCCACCTCTTCAGTGTCTGTTCTCGGTACGTGCGAATGAGGACATAGCCAGTGAAAATGAGAGGGAGGCTCATTTAAATTCAGTAGAGAGAGGCACTTCATACAAAGGAAAATGAGCCAGAAGAACTCTTGGCTATGAAATATCTCTAAGGTCAATGCTTAAAAACATGATGCTTCCAGGGTCCTTTATTTTTAAGAAGGATGCGAAATCCTTTTTCTCCTGGCTATAAGTCAATGGCTCAATAGGAAGGCTAGAAAGAAAACTACCTCTATGGGCACACTTGTTTCTCTGGTGGCAGTTGCTCTGTTCTCTGCATCTTGTTCACCGGAGCGCTGCAGAAGCAGAGGGGATGCCCTCTGCTCCCCCTGCCCTTTCCTGTCACCCGGCTGTACAGCAGGACATGCCTTACTGTGTGCACCGCGCTAGCGACCCGCATGCTGCCCGTCCCGTCCACAGGGGCCGTGTTCCCTGACCCATCTACTGGTTTTGCCTTTATTTAGGGAGCAATTTGGCTGGAGTCCCCCACCAGGGTCAGATGGGTCTCTACAGAAGCACACGAACCCAGGCACATTAAACCAGAGTGAAGTAAATGCTGTTACCTGCGAATGCTATTTTAGGAGGCTTCAATGAGTTTACTGGCTGCTCCCTCTATTCCTGGTTGAACGTGGTGAGCATTAACACTCTTCAGTGCTTTTGATTCAAGAAAATCCTTTTCCCTCCTCAAAATCGTGTCCTCTGCCTGCAGAACATAATAGTCGTGTCTAAGGGAGACAATTCTCACAGTATGACTGCTGTCTTTTTCCTCCCTGGCACGGAATTAGGGAAGGATTTTAACCAGAGGAGGGGCAAGGAGTTGCTGCAGGATGGCCGGACTTTAGTCCTTTTCTAATGAACATTATAATTCTGCTTGTTTCAGTGGTGTATTCATCATTTACATTCATCTCAGAGCTCAGCAGGCAGCAACCCCTCCAGCCCAGTTGCTCTGGAAGAGTCACTAGATGCAGGCAGGATTGTCAGAGCTTTTTTTCCTGGTCCTTGCTTGCTCTTATTTTGGTTGGGAACTTTGTCTTCTAGGCTGGGTGCCAAGCAGGAGAAGAAGTGACAGCAGTTCTTGAGCCCTGCACACACATCCCCACTCGGGCTGGGGCAGAGTGTTCCCAGGAGCAATGTGGGAGAGAGGCAGAAGCAGCAGGACAGAACCACACCAAGAAATCCCCATTTCTCCCCATGTTTGTGCCTGCCAGCTTCTCGTGTTCCCTTTAATTTGGACTGCGCTGCTCATGCTTGGAGAGATGCACTCTTCCCAGAAAATGCAGGCAGTGCAAACGGAAATGCAAAGCCTAATTTCTGGAGTCCTGGCTAAGCAAGCAGGAAGAGGTGCCCTGAAGTAGAGCAAGTATTTTATTTTTCTTCAGGCAAGTGCAAGATTTCCAGGCACAAATAAATGCCACTGGAGCAGCGCATGGTCAAAGCCCCTAAGAGCTGATAGGAGATGCATGAGCAAAATCTGCAGAAATTCCTTCTGCATTTTTCTCTTTCCTCAATTTTATTCCCAAAGAGGTTCAGACTTTCTAAGGAAATGTTTGTTTCTACTGTGCTTAACTGGACCTTTTAAGAGTACATTGATTTTTGTCAGAGGATGCAAGAAGAGTCAAGTCAAACAGTGAATTTCCTTATAAAATGTCTCTGCCTCTACAGCCCACGGAATTCCCCTAGCAAGGTCAGTACCGTTCAGGGTTTTACAGCGGCAAGATTTTAATTCTGCAGCTTGGTAAAAGGTCCTGCACAGCTCTTACCACTTGAGGGCAGTGGTTGTATGCCGAGGGCCAGATTGCTCTTTGAGGATAAAAGACTTCATAAAATAGCACGTCTTCCCGTAGGTGCCATCCCTTAGATCTTTTTTATTAAGTCAGATACTACAAAATTCGAAGATATTGTCTCATCCAGTGGCTACTGCAGGATACTTAACAAGCCCAGGGCTTTAAAGAAGGTATTGAAAATAATTTGATACAGATTTGTAGACTTGTTGGAGCTCAAAAGTTTTGTGGAGGTTTTGTTCTTGTTTTTTTTTTTTTTTTTCCTTTTTTTAAGACACTAAAGTAGTCAATACTTTATGCTTTCATCACACAACTTCATAAATTTACTAGATAATTATGAAGTGGTTCGTGTGCCTCTCTTAATGGTAAGGGCCTGAGTTTTTCTGCTTGCAGCTAAGACTGCAATTTCTTTGGTGTTTTTACAGAATTTGACACAACTGAACTTACCCTTGTGGTTGCCCAAAGGCCATACTTGAGCAGACGTGCATAGCACAATTGGTGGTGACTTGATGTGTGCCAGATTTCACACAGAGTTGACCCACAGTCCGCAACAGGACCTTGACATCTGGTGCCCATACTTAACTCAGGTAATGCATGATTATGCTGGGACAATCAAATTGCTCTTTTTGTGCGTGTGTTTTGAGGCAGCTGGCTCCCTGGTGCTGGCTTCTGCAGCCCTTCCCCAGGTTTCCCTCCTGTTTTGATGGACTGCTCTTCCTCATGAGCCAGTGGCAGCTGTGGCGCGGTGCCTATGTACCCATAGCTGTAAACCTGCCCTGGTTCCTCTTCATCTCTGTGTTGCGCGGCCCTGGATGGTGACAGAAATGTCCTCCATAGCCTTGCTTCTTTTCTCGTATATTCTTCCTGATGTGACCTCCCATGAAGAGGGGGATTTCTGTAGGGACAACGGCTCTTTGTCATGACTGGCTCCGATTGTGCCTTCCCAAGGCCGCAGTTTTTGTCCTGTTTTCAATTTCTGTCATCATCTGAGGATGCAACCTGTCTGGCTTCACCACCAAACTCTAGGTCTTCAAAACATGAAATTTTGGGCTTGCTGGTCTCCATTTAGGTCTTCAAAACAAGAAGTCACAACTTCAGTCATAACTAAAGCAGAAACTAACCTGGTTTTGTGCCTCCTCCTCAGTCCTTTGAGCTTCTTGAATGACTGAACGTACTGGTTACCCTGGGTTTATTTTTGACCATATACGGGGGTAGGTTTCTGAGTTGTCTGACTAGCAGCTGCCGCCTGTGGTTTGGTGTGGCCTGTCTGAAGTAAAATTGTGCGTTTGGGATGGCATTTAGGTTTGTTTATGTCTGATCCCATTCTGATAGATGGAAAGAAAGGAGAAGAAATAGGAGACTCGCCTTGAGAGGCAAACTGGTCACCACCTGGGTTGAAGTAGTCAAGATTGTGACAGACCCTGGAGCAGACAGCCAGGGTGAGGGCTGAATTTTCTGCTCCTTGTCCCCATGCCAGGTCCTGTCATGTGGCTGTGTGGCTGTGCTGAGCACCGAGGCCCAGCTCACGCGCCGATACCGTCCTGGGGCCTGGCACTGTCGTGGCCACGGCCTGTCTTCCACCGCGGTCTCTCTGTCTCGACGCTGCAAGTCCCCTAGTGTTTCCGCGTGCTGTGAGGAGGCAAAGTTGTTTGTGTTTATTCAAATCCCATTTAGCATCCGTTGGGCTCGAAATTCCGTGGCTCCCCTCTTATACAATTTTGTGTGATAGAAAAATAATTAATTCTGCAATTAAGTTCTGCGCAGAACAAATGATGTAAGAGCACTCCGTATGGGCTAAATTAGTGCCTGCTGAGACCCAGCGCCAGCATCTGTCTGGTTTAGTGACACTTCTTTTAAATAGCCAGGGGAGGGTACAATCCATCCTCCTGCAATTTTACTGATGGCTTAATCTTAAATGGAGGGCCACAGAACATTTGGAAGCTTTAGCTCCTGTGGCTTTCCCTTGGTTAGCAGTGAAAAATGAGCTTACGTCTACGTCTCTTCCCCATTTTAGGGAAGTCATTTTAAATTTGGGCTTCCTGGCCAGGTAGGCTCCACTTATGTCTCAAACAATAAGGGAAACTCTGGGGACAAAATAAAGCCACTCCACAGATTGTGAGGTACAGTAGGCACTGAGATGAAAATGGTTATATACTCACAAGATAATATGCTCGAATTTCAGTACATTGCCTCTTTCTCCTAATTTCTGCAGTGTGTTTTTCCTTCAGTATTATGAAGTGATGAAAGGCCTTGCTTTCAGCGTGCTGTCTCATGGGGAAAGGCCTTTTCCCATCCTTTCTGTGATGTTACTACTCTAAGGGATTTCAAATTGTCCCAACCAGAGAGGTCTGCTTCTGCAGAAGGGCAATTTTTACAGTTAGTAAACACAGGTTGCAATGTATTTCTGGCTGCTGCAATTGCTGCCCATTTTTCTCTGCGATGTTGGTGGCTGTTGCGACATGGGGGTAAGTAGGAAAACTCTGTTTTTCCTTGACTGGATCCAGTGGTCTGGCACAGCTGAGTTACCGTCTTTACAAGGAGATTCTGGCTTTGCACCCACACTCGCGGGAAGGGTGTCAGGAGTTGCCGACGTGGGTTGACTTGCAAGGCAGATGCGTGGGTGGGGAGGGGATTCTGAAGAAGAAGGATGGAGGAAGGATATTCATTTTGGTGATTTTTTTTCCCCATGGGAAAGGAGATGTGTGTTGCCTATGGCAGTTTATCACCTATGGCAATCTCGACTTTGGTTTCCTTAGGGACGAGATGTCAAATGTAGCTCCATAAATATTTGACAGTTTCAGTTGCCTTGAAACTATGATGGCAGGCCATTAGGACCTTCTTTAAGTCTTCATCCGGTCCATATAGCCCTGGCTTTTGCTCTTAGATTCATGGGAGAAGCAAACGCTGCTTGCTGTTTTCCTAACCTAGAGAGGATTGTGTCTCTAAAGGAAATGTTGTATTTCTCTTGGTCAGGTGGCAAGTCTCTATGGGACAAGCTCAGGAGATCCGATTGGGGTGGCAGAAGGTTCCTTATTCCTTGATGCAGCTTCCAGATATCAGGCCCTTAGATTTTGGGGTGTAACTTCACCTTGTGCTGAGGTAAGTATGTTTAGTCTAAATAAAGCTCATATTTTAAGCGATTTTATTGGGTTAGATTGTGCTAAAGTTCTAACTCTGTAGCTTTAACATGCTCAGTTAGTGATGTGACTTAGCCCTTCTTTCTACTTGATGAATATAAAGATATAATAAAGCAGACAGTGAGGAAAACAGGAAGCAAGAAACAAGATAATCAAGAGCAGACAAGGATTAATGAAAGAATCTATGGCTCTTACTCAACCCCCAGGGGTGAGCAAGGGCACCTCTGCAAAGGCAGACTCATCACCCACTCTTTGCTGTCCCACTGTTCTCCAACTGCTCATCCAAAGGGTCGTGAAATTGCCTCGATAAGAGACAGAAATCTCCACGTTGAGGGGAAAGCATGGTCACAACACACAAACTGACTGCATTTAATCTTAGCAGTAAGTTCCCAGTGGCTGTGCTTTTTTGGCATCCTTGCCCTACTGACTGCAATGACTGAAAATGATCTCTCGTGTTTTTCTCTCTTTGTAGCAAAGCTATAGGTGGTGCTTATTACAAGATGAGCCTTATCTCTTTTGATAGGCATGATAGGTGCTTAGAGGAGAGGACGTGTTAGGTTTCTTTGGAAGATTCCCCTGAAAGGTAGAAATGGCTGCTGTAGTCATGTTTACTTGTTCACAAAGCCCAAGACCAGAAAGTCCCTGAGCAAATGGCCTGGTTAGGTCTAGATCCTGCTCTCTGCTTTATCACAGTCTCCCATGGAGCAGGGAAAGTTGCTGAAGCAATCTGAGGTTAATCAGATGGACAGAACACTTTCTAGCTACAGAAATAAATACAAATACACATTGAAACCTGCTTCCATTTCCACGGCAGCCGCCACAAGCCTGGTGTGAAGGCTCTGCTCCCGGCGCGGAGGTGTGCGGTGGTGCAGGAGCACCCGGAGGGCAGAACAGCGGTGCCGCGGGACAGGGCAGCACTGCCACAGCTCAGGGCCGTCACCTGAATCAGCTCCTAGGGGACCTTGGAGGTCCGGCCGTCCCTGGGTCAGACCTGGGCTATGGCCAAGCTGTCACATGAACAGCCATCAAGCAGCGGAGCACTAACAAATAAACACTAGGTGTGAAGAAAGACGTGGGTTACCTCACCTGTTTGTGTATGGGACAAACCTTTTGAAGGTTCAGTGATATGATTATGTCACTGCTCTTTAGTTTGGATTTTTAGAGGGATTTTGCTCTTTTTTCCCATATCTGCTGTGTTTTTCTTGAACTTACACCCATTATGACAGGATCCTGGTTCACACTAAAGGGACAGGACGTGCAGAGGGTTATGGCTCTTGTTTGCTGATGCAGAGAGCTGGACCTGTTTCCTTGCTTCAGCTTTGGTGCAGGACACAGACCAGTAAGTTTCTGGACCATGGCAATTCCTGGATGTCCTCCTGAGTTTCAGACTGTCCAGGCTGGCCTTTAATCTTGGAGCATTGCTGGGTGCTTTACAGACTGGTACATTTTTCACTCTTCAGCTGCACCTGTAAGGTAGGTAGCCCTGGAAAGATGTACAGCAACTCTTTCAACAGCTTAGGAAATGAAAAAGAAGTTAGTTGGATGGGACCCAGATGCTTCGTTTTGGCAATAAGTTTGTGTTCTGCAAAGGCAGTGCGGATCAGGCTAAAGACTGGATGGAGGTCAAGTCCGGATTCAACCTCGGATGATATTTCCCAACCTTCTGTGCTCCATAAACTGTAATCCAGAGCACACAATGTGCTCTTGGAAACACTGGGCTCCTCTGTCCCTGCTGATGTGGGACAAGAGCCTCAATTTTAACTTGTTGTGCTCCATGGCTGCAAGCAATGCTGTTCCCAGAAGCCGAATGTTATTAAATTTGACAAAATTTGACAAAAATTCACTTCAGCAATTAGATGTTTTTTAAATAGCAAAATAACTTCTAAAAGATTTTTTGCACAACACTAGGGAAAAAAAAGTGTAAGAGACATATATATTGCAGGTTTCTCATTCCTAAGATCTCTGATGTTTCCTATTCTCTTGTTTTTTAGCATAAGTCTTTTGATCTTTGGTGTTTGCCCCAAAGCTCTAGACATTAGGTGAGGTTCTCAACTTTATTTTACAATAAAAAATGTAAAAGTTTGTAGCCTTCAGGGATTTGGAGAAAAAGTTTGAAAATGCGATCTAAGTGCATCATAAAGTTCAAGAAGGCAGAGTGCAATTAGGAAAAGTGCAAACATCTATAATTTTCTTTTAAAACCAGAACAAAAACCCTCATGATTTTTAAGCCACGATTCTCTGGAGCCTGACGCTTAATTTTTGAGTATGCGGGGCTGGCAGTGCTGGAAGGATGCTTTTCTTTGCTCAGATCACACTTTGTTTTTTGTGCTGGGAGCTCTACTGACCAGTGCCTTTAACCCTTTCTGTGCTGCGGACACAGAGCCAGGCACAGAGCTGCTCCCTGTGGTGAGGCTTACCCCTCTCTCTGTGCAACGCAGAGAAGCCAAGGGTCCTCTGGGGAGGGAAGGGGATCTCTGAGCACCTGACTGGCCACTTGCTGAAGACTTGGGAAGGGATTTGGCAAGGGAAGCGGTGGCAGTGGTCACCCGAAAGATCCAACACAGAGCTGAGAGGCTGTTAAATGCAGGTGCATCTGGGCATGAGCTTAAGACCTCCAAAGGGCTCGATGCAGCAACATCTTCCCTAGGGCCTCAAAGCCAACTATGCCTTGAGGAGTTTCAGAGCCCTCGTTCTGCTCAGCTGAAATGTGGTTGGGCTATGTGACTCTTATTCTGGAAACCTGCAGCTCTGCTTGGAGAGTTGTCTCCTACCTGTAAGATTTGCTAGAAGGATGTGATTTCCCCTGAGGGCTAATTAGGAGAAATGATCCTCCCCTCCCGAGGCTTCTTGGCATGGTATGGCCACAGCACGCAGTCAGGTTTTAGCCTCCTGGAGCACCTAGTTTTCCCCACATCTCACAGTATTTCTCTCAGCTGTGTCACCATGAGTCACGCTGCTTCCTGAGGGGGGAAACTGAGGCAGTGAAAGGCAGAGTGACCTCTTGTAAATCCTGGAAGGATGCAGTGAAAAAGCCAGGCTCTTTCCCGTGCCTCTCCTGCCCTGGGCTGCACCTCTATCTTCTGTGGACTCCTCATTTAAATGCAAGCGAAAGAGAGCAATGTGGCAATCACCACAAAGAAGGTGATTAGGCAGAGCTGTATTTCAGTTTGTCAACACAAAAGGTAGGAAACAGCCATGGATTGTGACACGATCCTTCAGTTTCTTTTATTTTAGGAGACACTTCAAGAAGGAGCTTTAAGCTGAGTTCTTATTGCTGCTGTTGGCCCCTGGCAGAGGAAGAGCATCTGTCAACTCCATGACGAGTAGGAAATATTTTAGGAGACGTCACCACGAAAGAGTCACCACGAAAGACAAACACTCCCCTAAGGCAGCGTGGCTGGAACTGTTGCTGGCTTATAGGACACCAAGTCAAGATGTGAAAGGGTGACACAGAAATTTCTTCCTGTATGTATGTATGTGTGTATATATATATGTATATATATGTATATATGAAGCTATAGGTCTTCCTTAATCGACCTCTGTGGCCAAGCACGTGGTTTGAGTTTGCTGTAACTTGGTGAGGGGTGTTTGTTTTACAATTCAGTATCTGAGACAGACTTGCATTTTTTGTCCCTCTGGCTACCATTTCAGCCAGGCTAGATTGCTTCATCCTGCCCTGGGACTGCTTTTAATAACTCCTCTCTGTGAGATATTCCTGTAGTGCTTAAGTACCAGCAAGGAAGGAATCATTTGTCATATAGAGACTGATATGTACCGTAGCTACTGAACATGCTGTAAGCAGTCCCTGTCTCTTCCTCCTTCCCCAGAACTTCTGAGGCTTGTCCCAGGTTTAGCTTTTGTCATTTCCTTGCAGAATTGCAGGTTTTGGAGGCTGGCTATGCTTACTACACCTTTCTCCTAGCTTTGTGGGCACAGCCCAGCACAACACTCTTCCTTTGCAGAATGACACCTGCAATTGGGAAATCTTGCTTTGGCCACTCCTCTCCATTCAGAATGCTAGTTTTGATCCAGCTAGGCCAAGTAATTCCAGGAAGGGCTGAATTAAAAGGAAACCAATCCATGGAGATATGCTGGGCAGTGATGAGCAGGGCTTTGTGGTGCAGGCGTAGGATTACCGTGGAGAGTGAGGGCACTATTCATCCCCTTTCCTCACCAAATGGGAAAGACTAGTAGAAAAGATGGGGGCTACAACCTCCTCGGGTAAGGCCAGGATCTCCTCCCTTGCTGTGAGGGCTCTGCTGTAGAGTCGCAGAGGCAGATGTCTTTCTCATGCTGACTCTGACAACCCTACATAGAACTGGTTTCACTCTACCTATCACTGTTCCAGCTGTGCACACTGCTGTTAATGTGTCCTATCTTTTCTCCACACAAATATCTTATTTTAAGGAGCCTGTTTCTGCACTTTCCCACCTACTGTAAACACCTGTAAACCATATGGCCATTGTAAAATAACCCTGACTAACTTGAATGATCTCAAACTAAGCTTTCAGGCCTTTGAATATCTCATCATTCCCTAGGTGGGCTGAGTGTGCTTCCAAATTGTCAGTTTAATGCTACGTATAGATTAATGTTCCCTGAAAAGAAGAATTATAACTATTTCCATCAGGACGGCCCTGAAAAGCCTAAATGACTCAGACATTGTGAAGGATGCCTCCTCCTAGGGCTGTAGCTCACCCAGTTCACTACATTTGCTATAGTGAGAGCCGTTATATTTCCCTGAATTTAGCTGTACCCATTGCTTTGGCTAGAACAGTATTTTTACTCACAGCATGTTTGTATGTGCAAGGCAATGATTACACTGACCTGGTGCCCACGCTTTCAGGCTATAGCAGAAAGCCTTTCTACCATTAATGTTTCCTATCACAGCATTTGTGCCCAGGTAAGTGCTGCTTTTGTTCTGTCCTCTTCCTTATTATATTTGCTCATCCATTTTGAAAATGA